ACAATGAAAACCTGTGGCTTTGTGTAACTTAAAGTCAGGCTTCTTCCACCCTCTGGCTTGTATACAAGTTTTGGGCAACTTTTAGACATTTTGCCAAGGCACCCCTAAAGAGACCTCAAGGCACCCTGGTTGAGAAAGGCTGATCTAGATTGCAAACCCAAAGATAGTAAAGCCAGCCATAGACAGAATCCCGACTGGTTAAGCAGGGACCAACTGAGATTCAAACTATGTATGGGAAGGCTGGATGTACCCAAGTTGATCGATCAATCAATTTGGGTAAAACCAGCTCGTTGGATTTTACATGTGATTATTGCTAGCAGATAGCTACTAGCAAAAATCACAGTGTTCTCCCAATGGGGATGACTCCCCCCCGCCCCTTCTCCAAGAGAGCACAACGACTCCGCAGGAGGGATTCCCCAATAACACTGACTCATGGTTGAAGCAGGGCTGCTCTTAGATATCACAGGGCCCCATACAGCCTATCTGACATGTCCCACCTGAATATATCAAAACAATGTAACACTGATGTAAGAAGGGATTTACATTGACAAATGTAAGAGCAAATTTCTACACTGACCACCAATGTAAGGGGAATTTAGACTGACCACCAACTTAAGGAGGGGATTTCTACATTGACCATAAATATAGGGGGAATTTACACTGAGCACCAGTAAAATGGAGAATTTACACTGACCACCAATGTAATGAAGAGCCCTACACTGACCACCAATGTAATGAAGGGCCCTACACTGACCACCAATATCATTGAATATTTACACTAACAACTAATGTAAGGGGGGGTTACGCTGAAAACCAATTTAAGAAGGGATTTTAAACCACCAATGTAATACTGACCACCAATGTAATAGAATGTATTGTTATGCTCACCTTCACTCACTAACTCCCCTGCTTACCTTTGTACCCTAAATGGTGATCCCTTCACTGTGCACCTCTCCACCCTACCATCACTTTTTCATCCCAAGCAATAACCCCCTTCACTCTACTCACCTCTACTGCATGGTTGAACCACTCCTGGGCTCCATGGGAGTAGAAGTGGTTGTTTACAAACTCTAGGTGGGCTGTATGCAGAGGAGGGGCATGATTTACATATGACTCCCTGCAGGTGTTTAAATGCCACCCCAATTTATACACAAATGCCTGTTTCATTTGCATATAAATAGTGGGTTATTTACATTTAAATGCAGACCCTGGGGATTAAATATAAAACCCTGCCTTGTGTGTCTCTCTTTCCAGCAGCTGAAAGCCTTTGTGATACACTATTAAATATGGTTGTTATAGACTTAGTGGACACCAAAAGTTTTTTGTTGGGATATATTTTATTAGTTAACTCATGTTATTAAGACAGGCCAAAGAGGGTAAGAATTTCTTTCCTGCAACCATGGATTGCAGGAAAAAAATGTGCTCAATTTCCCCATCAACACTGACCCTCCTGCCAAGCCATTGTGTTCTCCAAGTGGGGAGACAGCAGAAGCCGTCCCTGCTGGGAAAAAAACAGCGATTATTGCTAGTTGCTATAACTGCCACTAGCATGCAAAACGAAGCAGGCAGGTTGTTCCCAAGTTGCTCAGTAGATCAACTTGGGTACATTCAGCCTGCCCATACATGGTTCAAATCTTGGCCAGTCCCTGCCGAAGCATCTCAGATTTAGACCACTTTTGGCTGGCTTGAAGATGAAAGCTTTACGTACTCCTTGGATCCCTTCCTTAGGCTAAACACTCTAAAAGAGCATTCTATAGAGATAAGAGAAGCAAGCAAACAGTACAACATATGAAATATTTATTTTTCAATCTTTAATGAATAAAATTATAGCTGTATGTCAAAATAACTTACAGTCTTACTCTGTATTATGAATCAATAAATCATCCCAGAATGTGTTCCCATGATATGTGGCTGGTACAGTACAATTCACGCTTGCTATGGAATTGAATCTTTTCTGGAAAGTATAGAAAGGTGGGTTGTTAATTTTTACAATGTATTGAAGGAAGGCAGAATTTCAAACAAGTATACACGGCACCTCTAAAGGTTTACAGTCAAATGCATGACCAATTTCACCTTGATAAGACTTGTATTACTCCTACCCAATCAACTCTACTGTCTGTAGAAAATTACACTCAGATGCAAAATGCTTCTGGCAAAATCCATAAATCTTATACCATATCTTTTTTCCATTGTTCCTTAAGGCTGTAATATTGTAATAACATTGTAAGTGTGTAAATCCTTTATACATAATGACCCATAAAACAGCACTTCTTTTCAATGGTAAAGGGCACGTTTTGTACTCATACAACCTTGATTAATTAAGCAGCATGAAAAGAAATGGTGATGTGGGAAGTGTGGAACCAATACAATTTCACTTTTCATCTTAATATGGATGCTGCCCTGTTTCTGCTGTTTCTGTGCCATTGAATTGCAAACACATAGTTGGCCATTAGCAATTAAAGTGAATAATTTCAAGATGAAGATTGTTTTGTTTTTCATTGTTTGTTATTGAGAAATAATGAGCAGGGGAATGTGAAATTCTGAGTTTCATTTTCCCTGACATTTTGGAGAAAATGTGAAGATTTTAGCGAAATTTCACCATTTTGGAGCAATGTATCGAAGTAAATGTGAATAGTGAAATTAAGCTGCTTTTTTTGTGATATTTTAATAGTAAAATTGGCCTGGGGCCACAGAAACTCTTAAAAGTTAAAAAGGGAAACAATTACAGTGGCAGCACACAAACAATGATCAAATAAACACAAAAATAAGGATAAAGGCAAATTTGTCTTTATTAGGTTTTGCATTAAATCAAACAGTACAGTACATAGCTGAAAAATGATAAGAACATCAACAATGGAATGGGCGAGAATAAACAACATTATAGGAATTAGAGTGATCTATGTGGGTGAAGGAATACAAATCCAACCATAGTTATAATGGGGACATCCCCAAGCAATAAAAATAGGGATAAACAAAAATGCAAACAACACTAAATGAAATAAAATAAATTACCCTAAATATACCCTGAAAACACAACCTCTAAATAATTTTTAAAGCAAATTTTACCTAAACAGCTTCAGCAGAATCACTCAATTCTTTACTAAATATATAACATGAAAATATTCTTTTAGGAGAAAAATGCTGAACTGAAGCAACAAACATAAACATAAAGCCATGCCACCAATGTGAATAGATAATATATATATTGTAAAGCACTGCACAAACTGTTGGCGCTATATCAATCCAAGGAACAGGTAAGGTTCTGCTGCACAGAAGAGCGGAGCGGCAGGCCCGGTATTCTAACACGGCAGCGGCAGGAATACCAGGCCGGCCGCTCCATATTCACTCCATAAGTTGCACAGACATTTTCCCCACTTTTTCGGGAGAAAAAAGTGCGTCGTATGGAGTGAAAAATACGGTATACTGTTTTTTTTTTAAATATAGGGGTTGGCATGTGATATAACTGCATAAATTGCATAAACTGCAAAATTTGGTGCAGCTCTGCATAGAAACCAATCACCTTCCAGGTTTTATTGTCAAAGATTAATTCAACAAGCTGAGGTTAGAAGCTGATTGGCTACCATGCAAAGCTGCACCAAATTTTGGACTCTCCAGTCTTAGTAAATCAACCTCTCTGTGTAACAATGCATTAAAACATGAAAAGCTATCACACATAAATAACCTTTCATGGAATGTCCAAATTATGAGCGTACCAGTTTTAGTAAATCTCCCGCAATGTAATTATATTTTCAGATGTTTGAAAACCATTGACTTACAGTTCAGTTTTATACTGGCAGTTATATTTAAACACACTTCAAATATCAATTTGATTTCAGACCAACAAGTACAGTATTATATAATGTACTGACAAGGCATTTCATAATTTTACAGACATGCAAGTTATATTCAAGCTTTAATACAGGCAACCAATTGTCCGTAGGCATAATACAACCTTCACTTTATCTTTTATTGTTAGGAAATATCAGTTTGTCAAAAAAGACAGGAAAAAAAAGTGTAACTTCTATATTTGGGAGGATACTGGAGAGTTTAATACAAGACCACATAGATGAGTTCTTGCTGGAAACAAATATTTTAAGCAACAGACAGCATGGATTCATGAAAGACAGAAGTTGTCAAACAAATCTGATTTCTTTTTATGAGGGGGTGAGCAAAACCTTGGACAGAGGGGTGGTGGTGGACGTGGTAAACTTGGACAGAGGGGTGGCGGTGGACGTGGTATACTTGGATTTTGCAAAAGCGTTTGACACAGTTCCCCACACACGGCTAATGTGTAAGGTAAAGTCTACGGGCTTGGAAAAATCCATATGTAAATGGGTAGAAAACTGGCTGAAAGATCGTATTCAGAGAGTACTGTTTAATGATTCATACTCTGAATGGTCTAGGGTCATCAGTGGTGTACCCCAAGGTTCAGTGTTGGGACCCTTACTTTTTAATATATTTATAAACAATATAGGGTCTGGGATTATAAATCCCATTTCAGTCTTTGCAGATGACACCAAGCTGTGCAGTGGAATAAAGTCCTTACAAGATGTCTTCAACTTACAAGCCGACTCTCACTGTTTAATGCACTGTAAATATAATTGGGCTAAGAATATATGTAGGGGGGTACAACTGGGGGAATCAAAATGAGGTTTGGTAATGTTGATGCAAAATATAAAACAAGCAAAATCCTCTCTTGTTATGCACTTTCTCATTTATGGGGCTACCCTTCGCTTCCCTTGCTTCCCCCCCTTTTTTTTTTTTTTTTTTTTTTTTTTTTTTGCCTCTTATTCCCCCTTCTCCCTCTCCCCTTACTCTATGCATGCATCATACATACTAGTCTTCGATCAGGGGGGTACAATTGGGGGAATCAATGGTGGGGGGATCTGGGAGTTCTGGTAGATCACAAGCTTAATAATGGCATGCAATGCCAAGCTGCAGTTTCTAAAACAAGCAAAATCCTCTCTTGTATTAAAAGAGGTATAGACTTCCAATGCTCACTTAGCCTCAGAGAGAGAGATATCATATTACCCCTGTCACAAATCATTGAGTAGTAACACCTCATCTGGAGTGTCGCATATGCAGTTCAGTTTTGGGCACCAATTCACTAAATAAAAAGAATAAAAACATTGGGGAACTGGAGAAAGTAACACAGAGAGTTCAGGGCAACCAAACTGGAGAAATAAGAGGGCATGGAGGAGATCAGCTATGAGGAAAGATTAGAAGAACTGAATTCTCTCTTGAGAAGAGGAGATTAAGGGGGGATTTGATCAACATGTATAAATACATCAGTGGTTCATATAGTGAACTCAGTGTAGGGCTATTCACCCTGAGGTCATCACAGAGGACAAGGGGGCACTCTTTATGTCTGGAGGAAAAGAAATTTAATCTCCAAACACGGAAAGGTTTCTTCACAGTGAGTGCTGTGAAAATGTGGAATAAACTCCTTCAAGAGTTGGTTCTGGCAAGCTCAGTGGATTGCTTCAAAAAAGGTCTGGATTCTTTCTTAGATACACAGAATATAACTGGATACTAACATTTATAGGTAAAGTTGATCCAGGGAATATCTTATTGCCTCTCGGGGGATCCCAGCAGGAGCTAATTGGATCATGCTTTGCTGGGTTATTTGCCTTCCTCTGGATCAACTGTGGGTATAGGATTATAACTTTTTTTTTCCTATGGTTGAACTGGATGGACTTTTGTCTTTTTTAAGCCAGACTAACTATGTAACCCAACTCCGGGAAAGTAGATTGTTACATATGAAAAAAGTTTAATAGTTTCTATAGCTCCCATTTAATGAAGCAAGAATTTCTTAACTTGAATATCCATGTCTAACTACCACACTACTGCTGAGAGGCTGCCAGGATGTATAGCAGCAGCTGTACATCCAGCTCCTAGTTGCATTGGAATCATTTATATTACAGAAAACAGTTCTGGTGTTGTTACCCCCCCCCCCCCCCCCCCCCCCAAGCTGTATAGAAGACACTCAGTGTAGGTTACATGTGATTATTTAAGTTAACATGGTTGTAAACCTCATACATAAAAATGATCAAAACATATCCTTCTATATTGTGTATTTGCCTCAATCCAAAGCACTGAGTATCATTTTTCTCTGTTGTCTCTTTCCTCTGCTATCTGCATGAGTCGCTTCTCTCTGCATGAGTTGAATCATAGCCTCAGCTGTCCATATTTCCCTATGATTGTGTGTATAGTAGGGTTATGTTCAATCCCTCTGCTCAGGTTTCAGATTAAATTGAGCTCTGTGCTGTGTACTTTGTAGTGTGTAACATTAGAGCCCCACCCCCTGCCTGCTGGTGCCAAGAAAAATCTTTTATCTTGTGGGTTTTAGAGGGCTTGTACAGGACAGGAGGTTGCAGATAAACAGGTACAGCGTATGTAGGATTTGTTTCATCTCTGTGTATCACTTGAGGCTAGTAACTTCAATGGGTATGTGTTAGGGTTTACAATCACTTTAAGAAAAACTTGCTTCATTAAACAGGATTTGTAGAAACTACTAAAATGAAATAATCAGTGTGCCTGCCTGGAGTTGAGCTTCATTACATACACAGTACATGGTGCTTAACATATATGTTAAGCCAAGAATGAAAGCTCAGCTGTACTTAGATACAACACCTTAAACAAACTGTATAGCTTCTGCAAACCTAAGAGTTAAAAGGTACCTGGACTGGCATACAAACCCTGAAACAAAACTAATAGTTATTTGTTAGCACCATCCACTGTCTGAAGATTGCATGCTCTGAGCTCTGTAAACTATACGCAAATATTACATTTTCAGAAATTCAAACATAGGCCACCCAAATCTGTCAAATCTGACAATGCAAAATATTGAATGTTTGGTAAATTTAGCAAACAATTAAAAGCCTGCTTTCTACTGATATGACTGGATCAGTGCTGCCAATCTCCTATAGTCTCTTTTAGCTACTTCCTGTCTACATGCAGCTGCACCAGTTTTAACTACAAATCATTACTCTCAATTAGCGTTCTTACAGCAACAATTATTGACCATGCCTATACAACGTGTGGCAGGGTCACTTGCAGTCTGCATCCGGGGGGCTTGTGACAGAATGACAACACAGGAGTACAGTGGGGAGTCAGTTGTCTCCCCATCTCAGGAAGTACCTGATCAAGGACCTTCATTTTTTACAAGCTTTCTATGTAATATCATAATTAAAGTGGTTGTAACCCCTTAAATATACCCACTGGAATGACAATATTCAGGTAATACACAGAGATCTCTGAGATGAAACAAATCCTCCTACATAAGTTGTACCTGTTTATCTGTAGCGCTCTCTTCTCTAATGACTACTAAATTATACATTTTACAAAGCATTTCTGAGCTTCCAGAGGCAGGGGGTAGGGATCTGATGTCACACACTGCATAGCATAGAGCAGTGGTCTCCAAACCCAAATTGTGGTCCGGGCTGAATGCAGTCCTTTGCTTGATTTTATCTGGCTCTTGGGATACAATTTAATTCACTGACACCAATGAAAGGCATAATTCCTCCTAATGACACCAACGATGGGGCAAATTCCTACCCAATGACATGAATGAAAAGGCATAGTTCTTCTCAATGACACCAACAATGGGTCTAATGACGTCAATGATGGGGCACAATACCTTAAAATGACACTAATGATGAGGCATAATTCCTCCCACTGTCATGCAATGATAGAGGATTGTTTACTCACACTGATACTAGGACATTTTGTATTCCTGGAGGCCACAGTCCGGCTTCCCTGAAGACTAAAGGACAGTAAACTGGCCCTTTCTTTAGAAAGTTTGGAGACCCCTGGCATAGAGAGAAGAGCTTAGTGTAATCTGAGACCTGAGTCGAGGGAAAGGCCCCCCTCTACACAGTCTCATAGAGAAATAAGCACAGATGAGGCTGTGAATCACCTACTGTATGCTGAAGGGGATTGACTTGTGTTGAGTTAGACTGTCAGAAGTGATTCATGCAGATAGCAGGGGAATGACAGAGATGCCAGAAATCACACTGAGTGTTTTGGATTGAGGTAAGTAAACCCTATAGAAGGATATACTTTGTTCATTTTTAATTTCAGGTTTTACAACCACTTAAAAGCTTATTTGCAAAGAAGGAAAACAACATTTGAAATTAAATTATCGTTATAAAGCTTATATCCGATTTTAGTGATTTGGTTTTGATTTACGTCAGTCCTTTGTTATTTTTCCTCTCACAATCACTAGGAGTATTACAAACCCTCTTCTGTCAATTGTGAAAAGTATAAACTCTCTGCATCTTTCTGAATTACAAATACGGGGGCTGTGTGTGGTGAATATTTGTTCTGCTTCTGCAAAAACCCAATTTTTTGTGAATACATTTTAAAAATAAAATCCTACGACATGCTTTAGTACCATCAGAAATTCAGATAAATAATTAAGTTTTCTTTCTTTTTTCATGTGACCTATTCACTCCTAGGCAGATCTATAGTGAGGTCAGCTTCCAATTAGACATGTATTTTCCACATCGTGTACTGTTTCTTTTCCTCAGCTTGGCAGGAACACGATGAACTGGAAGAAATGTGGCATTATCTTTTTGCCAATCTGGCTACAGTTAGAAAAAAAATGAATTGGCAGAAATAACCAAGGACAATTCCTGCGATGCAACACATTCCAGTTGTTTTAATCCAATAATGCCTACACACATATAACAAACTCCTAGGCTGTAGTAGTACGGGAGAGGTAATATTATTATATACTTAAGGGATGACAAAAAGAAAGGTTTAGCTATGGATTTTTCATTTTATCCATTTTCTAATATATTTCAAACAGGGAAACTACAATAGTTTTTCTGTCAATCCTATTTTTCTTCAATGGAAAGTTTATATTTTAAATCTAATATTTTACAGTATATCTAGGTATATATACCGTATAACAGTGGCGGACTGACAACTCATGGGGCCCCCGGGCAATAGGGGATCATGGGGCCCCTGTGTCCTTGTCCAAACTCAAAAAAGCCTATGAAAAAGGTACCAGGGGCATCTCATGGGGTCCCCTACTGACCCCGGGCCCTCGGGCAGTGCCCGAGTTTCCAAATGGTCAGTCCACCCCTGCCGTATAATGTTTATTGATAAAAAAATGCTAAGAGAGAATCAAAGTATTTTTTTTCTTTCGGGCTCTCACTGAAACATTGGCTAGAACCCTTCAGCGGGAAGGTTTAAAGATAACAGATGTGAGGTTTGTCTTATTTACCTCCATGGAGGTCTGATTATGTCAATATTTTTGAATGAAAAAGCGGTACATTTTTTTACATGGAAATTTGTTGTTTTATATTGTAGGCCTGTAATTCTTAGGAATAACTCACTTAAATCTGCCCAAACAAGAGTCTAGTATACATCCCGGGTATGATATAGTTTGAAAAATGAATTCATAAATTATAATATAATAAATAATTATAAAAAATAATAATAATACATTTAATTCAATAATGTAATCAAACCAAAAACACTGAAATTTGAAATAGAGCGCCAAGTTCGCACATCACTGAGCTCAGTCGCAGAATCGTTGCTGTCGTCACTTTCAGTGTCTGATGACGAATTTCCCCACAAATCACTATCGCTCAATTCTGCAAGTGATTCTAATTAACTATCGTTGTTTTCTAGCTGGTCTAAAACTGCTTTTGATCTAAAGGGACGCTTTTTGGATGCCATGGACGTTCTCAAGTTTCCAGGCAGAAAGAATGGTAAAAGTGCAGGCAGGGCGCAGGACAAAGCACTAGGGACAAAACGGAGGTGAAATAGTTTGATACAGTAATGTAATCCTAACAGATTACAATGTATTGTGTGTATGTCATGTTTTGTTTACGTTTTTTAATCTCCTGCCGGTTCTGCCCCCCCTGCGTTGGTGCGCTCGCAGGGAAGGGAACCCGGAAGATGGATGCTGGCATCTGCCAGAGGACACGACCAGAGGACATCGGGGGATCGCAGGGACAAGGTAAGTTACACTACAGTGTAATTTCGAGTGTGGCTCGCGGTTACCACTTTTGGTACTGAAAATTAACCCTGAGCGACACTCAGGATTACCGCTAGGGGGGTTAATTTTTGTGCGCAAAGTTTGGCTTGAGCCATTAATATGTATGCAAACTCTAAATCAAAACAAGGATTTTTGCTGGTTTGCCCCAATGTTAGCTAGATT